CTCGTTTGGTAGCAAATTACGCCTTCTTTAAATTTTATACTTAAAGAAAGGGGATCCTTCGGTTTTAGAAAAATTTATAATTATGAGCTTTTTTACGATTGTGCGGTGTTCATTCATAATATATCGTATTCCTCGATTTATTAATGCCGCCCATACGGTATAAAGCATACTCCACATCTATTGCAACATTTTGTGAGAACTATGTGATTTCTTCCTCAAACTAAAGACGAAAACGTACTTTTCCTTGAAAAGGATGTACAAAGTGTACAGTTTGTAAACCTTGAATTCGAGTGTAGTAGTCAGTAGGTTTAAAAATTATTCGGCAATTTAGAAACTGTTAAAACCAAAGGTTCCCCTTTTTTAAGTGTAAAATTTAAAGAAGGCGTAATTTTCTACCAAACGAGTACAAGAAATAATTTTTCGCGCATGTTTTCCACAAAAGATATTTGAATGTATAAAGGCAGTCAACACCAATGATGAAAACGCATACTATTTGAGTAGTTCCTTTTTACAGTACGTACGTTTTGTTAGCGGTCAGAACGAAGCTCGTTAAAAAGCCCGCATCCTATCGTGACTGAAACAACTTCAGAATAGACTACACGATAATCAGTACCACAACCTGAGACAATGCCGATTAGCGAAATATTATCCATCTTTCGCATATGTCGGCATGTTGCACGAATTCTGGCGTGTACTGTAAATAGTCTGGAGACACAAGCACTGGAACAGTACGTTTATCAGTATAAGCTTTCGAGCTCGTCCAGCATTTGAGAGTCTGTGAGATTGCAACGAGAAGTGAGCATTTTTGCAGTTGAACCATCAGGGAGGGGGTCGTGTGCGTAACTGGGCAGAGTTCGAGCCACATTGATCTCACGGCGTGGTGAGGCATACATTTTTGGCGGGGGAGTGGACTGCGTGACCTAGTTGCGCATGATAAACGAGGGGGATGGGCTATAGCTATAGAGAGAGACACTTTATTTTGAAAATAAAATTCCAAAATCGTCACCAAAAAGGTCCTTCATTCACAAGGAATAAGGCGCACAAACTCACAACACCGGGAAATCAAAAGTAATCCATAATCATCAATGCCTGCAATTGTCAACATCCTGAATGCATATCCTTGGAAAATTCGTCAAATATAGGCCAGATTGGACTGCTTTCAAA